TCTTCAACAGGATTCCGCAAAATAATGTAAATAGCTTTTGTAGGTTTTGTTATTAGCTACAACTTTTGTTAACAAACCAAATCCGTATCTCTGATGCATGATGAACCAGAGTGAACAGAAGCAACTACTGTTTACAGTAACAAGTTCTGCCCGCTCTAGTTCGTGATGCATAAGAGATACAGATTTGAGTTATGAGCAAAAGTTGTAGCTAATAAACCTACAAAAGCTCTATACATCATTTTGCGGAATGCTGTTGATGCAAAACATTAGAAGCAAATGAATGTGAATGAATGTATGAAATGAATGTAAATGATTTTCCATGCCTGATCATAACAATTAAGGCTGGTAAGTTACTGTAGTAACTGGAGCACCTAGGTTAAAATGAAATGTTATTTATTTTGAATTTGGAACAAATAAAGAGTTTAAAAACAAGTTTAAATTGGCTCACTACTTGACTAACCTATTGGTCCCAAGCAAGTAGCAAAAATGGCTACGATTTGGACTGTTCTGGCTGTGGCGGTTCACAGGAAAATTTACGTGCATCAACGTGACGTGAAGACCGCTATGGGGATCTTCAAGAGCACGTGTTTTTTTTTTTTTTTTTTTTATATATATACAGTGGGGATCTGCTCCCAGACTCCTGAAAAGATAACTCAGGGTGTGGGGATGGGAGAAATAGCTCTCCCGATCCACTAAACCTTACCCTGTGCTCTAGGCCCTTGCCCTCCCCGGAACCGCCAGAAAGCATTACGTCATGGGAGGGGGCCGGGTTGCGCTATGGCGCATCACTTGGTGTTGTGTCCGACGTGACACTTGCTACTGCACAGTGAGCAGCTGTGCAGGGCCTTCCTCTTGTTGTTCGCTGTTCGTTGTTCGCCCGAGTTCTAGAGCAGACGTGATAGCCAGCCAACTATCCAACAGGGCAGCTTAGGACAGATGTGACCGCTTACCAGCTGCGTGTGCTAAGCACTCTAAGAACCCGGCGTCACTCCTGCCTTTGCACAACGAGGGTTTGTGCAGGGCTTCTCAACCTCCTGGGACGAGCTGGATGGGGTTCCAGCGTCCCTACTCTGCGGTAGTTCGTTTAGCCGCAATATCTCTCCCTTGGGTTCGATAATTAGCGTTTCCAGGGCACACCACGAGAAGGCGAACTACTTCATGCTCCTAGAACGTGTAGGGGACAATGGTATACAATGCACCCCCTGGGCAGAACGCACCAGCTGACTTTCATTTGTGTTTTTCATGGCTTTTCCGTAACTGTTTTGTTGTCTTATCAAGCAGCACTTCTAGCATAACATCTGAAATCAAAATCACGCATGATAAATCCTAGAATTGGATTCAAAATTCCAAGAAAGTATCAAAATAAAATGAAAAAGTGCGTCCTACCCCGGGGGTGCGTTATATACCGTTCTCCTCTACCTGATTGCTACTGACGCGATTGATGCGCCGTCCAACCTGGTATGAAAATTGAATAAATCTTTATAAGGAGAAGCAAAGACCACGCCGTTGGAACAACAAGTTGAACAAAGTACTCTTGAAGGAAGAATTTTCACGTTCCAAACACGATTACTGCTTATATGTCAAGACCACTAGGAAAGGTAATGTGTTCGTTATTATATATGTTGATGATCTCCTAGTTGCTGGCCACCATTTGGATTCAGTTTTGGACATCAAGAAGACACTTTCCGAGATGTTCCAAACAAGCTTGCAAATGCTCATTACAGCTAAAATGCTATTTTTCGGATTTATGAAGCTATGAAATATTTTAATGGTAATTTGTAATTTGTAAGAAGAGAAGGTAAAGTATTTTTATGATACATAAAACCTGTCAATTTAGCTTTCAGAGGGTCACAATAGCGATTAGCTGTAACGATGAGCAACGCGATGAGCGAGCAATCAGCGATCATAAAATCGCTAGTTGTGACCTTCTGAAAGCAAAATTGATACATTGTGTATGTCATACACAAACTTTACCACCTATGCTTGCTTCTTATAAACAAAAATTATTATTATAGTATCTCATAGTTTCATAATTCCGAAAATAGCATTTTAGCTGTAATGAGCAATTGCAAGCCTGGTTCCAAATGTCAGATTGCGGTGAAATCAAATACTTCCTGGGAATCAAGATTCGATACGAAGGGAAGACAGAAACTTTATCATTGTCCCATGAAACTGGAATCAATCGTGTACTGACCAAGTTTGGAATGGTTAACTGCAATTTCGTCAAAACGCCGATGGAAAAGGGTTGTCTGCTACAAGTTCAAGATATAAGAACTACGAAGCATTTTTTTTTTTTTTTTTTTTTTTCAATTCTTTATTTAAGAGATTTTTAGCCTTAGGCTAGTTCATCTCTAAAACTACGAAGCAGCCATACCGAGAGTTACTAGGAAAGTATCATGTACACAATGCTATGTGTTCGTCCGGATATCAGCGACCTCACCCAATTGGCCTTAGGGGTATTGAGATAAATGCATATTCGTAATCTGCATTGAAAATGAAACCGAAATCCAAAATTTCATCAATTTTGGTGCACTGGAACTATTTTAAATAAATGCCATTACATTAGCAAAAATCACCATCATACCGCCCCTCGGTGGAACTTTGCATAGGAGCGAGCTGTCAGTTTGTTAATGTCAAACAGTGAAGTTATTATTGTGCTTAAAATCTTGATTTAAAAGTCGGGATGAAAGTCTATGGGATTGAAAAAAAATTATCATTGTGCTCAGAAAACGAAGCTCTTTCAAATGATGTATAATAACCAGTGTGCAAACAGTCAGACTCAATGAGTCATTTTCATATAAATAAGAACTGCCATCTGCGTCATCATTCACTGCCTCGTGAGAGTTTGAATGATTGAGAGGTAAACGAGTCACTGACAGCCGAGCACTCAGTCAGTAGCTCAATCCGCACGTTTATTCTTCCGTTATGGTACCCAATACTTGTTTTGAATGACTGAGCGTACATTTTCTAAGGAAAAATGCCTCAATTACATGCTGTGTGAGCGAAGGCAAGCGGTGTGAGTCGCCTGTTCGTGAGTGACTGAATGTTTTTGTTGACTCTTTCATTGCCTCGTCCTTTACCGTTCGGTACAAACGATCTGCACAGAGCAATGGATTGAATAGTGCAGTGGTTTCACACTCAACCTAAGCAGTCAATAATGTTACGGTCTGATAATAACCGATATATTTTTCAAAATTAAAGAACCCAATTGTCCCAGGCCAATTGTGAAATCAGTGCCAACATTTGAAAGGGGCGTAATTGCGTTTGTAAACAATGGCTTTAGCTGTCGATTTCTCGCTAATAATGAAAATTAATGACACCTACAGGTAGATGAATGTTTCCTCTACCAGCTAGCATTGTTAATTTGGAGATGTGAGCTTTTATTTGCGAGAAATTGACGGCTAAAGCCATTGTTTACCAAAACAATTACGCCCCTTTGAAATATTGGCACAGAAATGTTGGGCAAATATGATGGGGATGCTGAAGGTAATTACCAAACGGTGAACGAAGAAAGTGTGCGCGGGTTCAGGAGCCGAGATGCAGGATTTGTCGCAATGACCTGATTTTGTCAACCCCCTTTGTTAAAAACTTTTCTAGGGCTCTATCATCACCGTCACGTCACCTCACTTTCTTGTCACCGTGACAGAAAAGTGACAAAAAAGTGACTCTCATAATCGCTCCGATTGCGTGACTCGTCACTATGTGACACAAAAGTGACTCGAAATGTATGCCATCAGTTGAGAGGAAAGCGCTTTAGAACGGTTTGTTAAAAAATGCTGATGAGCCCTTTTCTACTGTTAATCCAGGTTTGAGATCGACGAAATTAAAAATGGTTTGAGGGAACATGCACAAATGACGCAGCTTTTAATGGGGGAGGGAGGGTCTCAAGTTGTGACCGGCCATGTATTGGGTATAGCAAAATACGCTACGAGGTGGAGGGGGGTCTGAAATTGGTCAAAATATGCTACGTCATTTATGGAAGTTCCCGTAATACTCTCTTCACACAACCTACAGTGAATATTCGCTATTTGGGGGAGGCCTTTTCACGTTTTTGACGTTTTTAATCAATCCGCGGTGGTCTATTATCACCGTCTCGTCACTCCACTTTGATGTCACTGTGACAAAAAAGTGAGACTCATAACCGCTCCGGTGACGTGAATCTCGTCACTAAGTGACGAAAAGTGACACTCATAATCGCTCCAGTAAAGTGATCACCAGGTGAAGTAACGGTGATAATAGACTCCTATTGTTCTATGAAACATCCAAGAGCGAAAGATTTGGAACTACGGTTATGCGAAATTATTGAAAGATAAAAGGGGCTGACAAAATCGAGTCATTACTGTATAGGCAAGTAGATTCAGCTGTAAATAAAATTCATAACTAGGGAAGAGGCATGAATGACTTAGCATTTTAGGGTGACCAGCCATATAGACAAATACTCTACAAGGGGAGGGGGACCAAAGTGGATGCACTTTGTATCGTATTTTTCTACAAGGCTGGTCACTCTAAAATGCTACGTCATTTATGAATCTTCCCTTAGTACAAATAAATTTCGCTATCAGTTTCACATTTCTTCCACATTAACAGCAATCTGTTTGCACCAGTTACGGGGTCCAATGGAAAGATACTGTTTTGACTATGCTGCTATCGGCCTTTCGAGTCGCGCAAAAACGGATCTCCACATTTTGAGTTAAAAATAAGCCAGTAATGCATAAAACTTGTTTGTAAACAAAGCACTTCTTCCGTGATAATTTCTCTTCTTTACATCATACTTTGGCTGGGCTAGGCCGCCCTGGCGAAGCGCACCAGCCGATCGTGAAATGAGGACACCGGCACGCCGTTGCTCATCATCCGCCGAGCCCAACAATCGATCAATGAATGGGTTGAGGAACTGCGGCGTTCATTGACATTATTATTGTTCATCACGCAATATTCAAATCACGATCTGGCTTTCTTCGTGCACTCGCTGCTGTTGCTGGAAGAGGCCAAGTGCAGATCTTTGCATAATCGCCTATCATTAGCAGAAAAATCGATCGTTTATGAGCGATACCTACCCGAGCAGGCGACAAGTCGGGACGATAAAAAAAACTACCGCTACATCAGCCCGGTGTTCGGTGCTTTGTTGATCATAATTTCACCTTTCTCTGTCGCCATGCGCGGTGTGTCTATCCCATATAAAAGTGGCGGTTGGTGACGTTGGTTTAGCTATTTATCGGTGATTCCTGGGACGTAACGGAGCAACTCAGTGATCAGAGTTTAGTGTGGGCAAGTTTAGTTTCAGTCGTTTGTACCAATCGAGGAAGATGGCAGTGGACTTCAAGTGTAAAGTGTTACTTTATGTGGTGGGACTTTGTGGATTGGCAAGTTTTGTGGACTCGCAGATTCCGGGACTGGGAGGATGTCCGGATTACGTTCCGATTACAAAGTTCGATAGGACTAGGTTCCTGGGAAATTGGTACGAAGTGGAACGCTACTTTACCGTGAATGAAGTGGCCACCAAGTGCGTCGCGGTGACCTACGAGCTGATGGCGGATGGCAAAATCTACGTTCGGAATGCGTTTACCAATCGATTGTGAGTGTTCAAAGTTGCTGTTAAGCTTGATTGGTACACTAAGCATTCGCTAACTGAAAGGGATTTTTTACGTCTTTGTGTAAAATACGGGGGGTGCAAATCAAACACAGTTTGTTTAATGTGTGACGAAATAGTGTCAGGGTTTAAACGCTTATAACTTGGCCATTTATGGATGGATTTCTAATCCTATCACATCATTTTATACAGATTGGATGGAAGATTCGTTTATGATTATAGTAGTTTATCATTAGTAAACTATTGAAAATTGATCAAAATGTTAGCGGTAATCAACCATTTACATGGTTGGTTGCTATGACTATCGATAGAACAGAGATAGACGAACCAATACCAAGAGCGTGCCGTAAAACGAGGGAAAATCAATAAATTTTCACCGATAAATCTGAATATTTTTCCAATCACATGTTTGGCAGACAAACAAATACCTCCTAAATCTGTACTAGCAAATGATTGTCTATTGTACGAATTTAGTTTTTAAATTGCATTTCTTGTTTATTTTTAAAATTAAAATTAGATTAAAAATTATCAATTCTGGGGTGAAGATGATCATGCAGGTTTTTAGGCAGTGCAATAATCAGAAATTATCATTTATTCTCGAGTTTTGTTCTCTGAAGAAGAATCCGGTGTTAAAATTTCAACAAAAGTTGTGGTTTAAGAAAAAACTGTGTTAGAAATACGCCTAAATGTAGGCAATTAGAATCCGTTTTTCTCATAAATTATTTTCATACGTTCATTTTAACAAAATATTATTTCAAATTCGCATTCATCGACCCAAAATAAAATAAAATAAGTAATTTCACCGAATACAGCACCAGAATAAATGCTTATTCTGATAGGATGTTTAGGAATAGCTAAAAGTTGCATATTTTATCACTTCCACATAATTGTACTGGTAGAATAAAATAATAAACCAATTATCTTATTATATCATTATATCATGAAAATGACTGATCAGAAACAAAAATTGAACGATGTAGTGATCAACTTCATCCCGTTTTACGGTACCTGTTTTGGTTTAGTTCGTCTGTGGAAGCAGTGTGGTATCTATCGCCTCAGTCGCCAGCATTTCCACTTCTTCCAGCGTCTCGCCGGTTACCGTCAAGACGACATCGTCCGCAAAGCCAACGATCTCAACTCCTTTAGGCAGCTTGAGCATCAGCACGCCATTGTACATTCCGTTCCACAGCGTGGAGCCTTGTGGAACTCCCGCCGTGACTCTAAGCGATTTCTGCCCCATGTCAGTCACGTAGACCAGGACCCGGTTCTGGAAGTAACTACTTAGAATCCTGCAGAGGTAGTCTGGAACCTTCATTCTATGGAGCGCCTTGGCTATGACCTCCCAGCTGGCGCTATTAAATGCATTCTTCACATCAATCGTAATCACGGCGCAGTATCGATTTCCTCTCCGCTTCTGTTTGGAAGCTTTCTCGGCTCTGTCAATCACTGTCCGAATTGCATCCACCGTCGAACTCCCTTTAAGGAATCCGAACTGCAATCCGTGTTCACTCTCCGTGCATTTCGTCAGCCTGTTCAGGATGATCCTCTCCAAGAGCTTTCCGACAGTATTTACTTACTTACTTAAGGGTCCTGTGCACCACCAGCGGTGCAAAGGGCCAACGTGAAAGACTTCCATCCTGGGCGGCTGCTCGCTTTTGCCTTGACCTGGGCCCAGGTCAGATTTCTATCGACTTGCTTAATTTCCTTATTGAGGCTCCACCGCCATGAGCCCCTGGGTCTGCCTCTGCTGCGATGTCCTGCTGGATTCCAATCCAGCGCTTGCTTGCAGATTTCGTTTCCGCCCGGTCGAAGTGTGTGGCCGACCCACCTCCACTTTCGCTCTCGAATTTCTGTTGCTATCGGCTTCTGATGACATCGACGATGGAGCTCGGCATTCGAGATCCAGTTGTGAGGCCACCAGGCACGAATTATATACCGCAAGCATCGGTTGATGAAGACCTGCAGCTTTTGAGTGTTCTCCGCTGATACACACCACGTCTCGCTGGCGTATAACAACACAGATTTCACGTTCGAGTTGAAAATTCGGATTTTGGTGCGTTGACTTATCTGGTTGGATCTCCATACGTTTCGTAAACTCGCAAAGGCAGCCCTAGCCTTCTAGATTCGTGCACCTATGTCGCTCTTGGTCCCGCCGTCCGACGCTATTTGGCTGCCAAGATATTGGAAACTTTCGACCTTCTCCACTGCTTGCCCCGCTACCGTAAAGTTGGAAGGGTTGCCCGTGTTGATATCCAACGATTTGGTCTTGTTGACGTTGATGGTGAGACCCGCCGCAGAGGAGCGTTCGGCTAGGTCATTGAGCTTACTCTGCATATCAGAGCGCCTTTGTGCTAGTAGAGCAACATCATCAGTCAAATCGAAGTCGTTAAGATGCTCCATGGTGATAGGCTGCCAAAGCAGCCCACGGTTCGGTACACGGTCAATTGCACCTACCATGATCTCGTCGATTACGATGAGAAACAGTAGCGGTGATAGTATACATCCTTGTCTCACACCAGCGACTACCCGGATAGGGTCGGACAAGGCTCCGTTATGCAGAACTCTGCACGTGAAAGCCTCATACTGCGCTTCGATGAGGTTGACGATTTTATCCGGGACTCCCTTGCGTCTCAGGGCGCCCCACATATTCTCGTGATTGAGACGGTCGAAAGCTTTTTCGTAGTCAATGAATACCAAATTCTTGGAATTCATTGACCTGCGCCAGGATGATGCGGAGCGTGACAATATGGTCCACACAAGATCTTCCGGCACGGAATCCTGCCTGCTGCCGTCGGAGAGTCGCGTCGATCTTCTCCTGTATCCGATTCAGGATAACTTTGCACAGAACTTTGAGAACAATACACAGTAACATGATGCCTCGCCAATTGTCGCACACAGTCAGATCCCCCTTCTTTGGGACCTTCACTAAGATGCCCTGCATCCAGTCGGCCGGAAAAGTCGCGGTGTCCCAGATATTACAGAATAGTTGATGCAACATTTGTGTGGATAGCGTGGGGTCAGCTTTGAGCATCTCTGCTGATATACGATCGGCCCCTGGAGCCTTGTTGGATTTCATGCTTCGGATAGCTGCTTCAATCTCCTGCAGTGATGAGGCCTCGGAATTGACGCGAGTGATGCACCGCACCCTAGGCGGATCATGCCGAGATGTTGATGGCTGGTTGGCCGTCGAAACTTGAAGAAGTTATTCGAAGTGCTCAAACCAGTGTTTCAGCTGGTCAGTGGGGTCGGTAAGCAATTGTCCAGTCGTGTCCTTCACTGGCATCCTTGGGTTTATCCTTGCTCCACCCAGGCGTCGTGAGATATCGTAGAGGAGGCGTATATCGCCAGTGTTTGCGGCTTTCTCCCCTTCGTCGGCCAGGGAGTTCACCCACGCTCGCTTGTCCCGTCTGCAAGAGCGCTTGACTTCCTTCTCTAGAGCCGAGTACCGTTGACGGGTTTCGTTCTTGGCTCCTCTGGTTCTCGCCCGCTCTATCGCGGCTTTTGCTTCTCTACGCTACTCAATCTACCGCCAGGTTTCATCTGTGATCCACTCTTTCCTCTGGGTGCGCAGCTCACCCAAGTTGTTCTCGCTTGTTTCTATAAAGGCATTCTTGATGGCCGTCCATTGTTCTTCTACGCTGCCACCTTCTGGAACGTACGCAGCTCGAGTCTCAAGTTCTTCAACAAAAAACCTTTTTACCGCTGGATCTTCAAGTCGGCGTGTGTTGAACCGCCGCCCGAGTATCTCCTCCCATCGCTGGATCCTCGCCATGCGTAGGCGGATTTCGCCGATTAGAAGGTGATGGTCAGACGCGATGTCGGCGCTGCGTTTATTCCGGACATCAAGAAGGCTCCGTCTCCATTTTCGGCTGATGCAGATGTGGTCGATCTGATTCTCGGTATGTCCATCACGGGAAACCCACGTGACTTTGTGCACTGGCCGATGGGGGAAGAGCGAGCCCCCGATCACCATGTCGTTATTGCCACAAAATTCTGCAAACAGCTCACCGTTCTCGCTCATTTCGCCGAGACCATGGCGTCCCATGACACGCTCATAGTCCGTGTTGTCGGAGCCGATCTTCGCATTGAAGTCGCCAGTGTAGATCTTGATGTCACCCTTTGGAACCTTAACCACGACGGCATTCAGTTGACTGTAAAAATTCTCCTTGTCCTGTAGCTCGGCAGCATTGGTTGGCGCATAACATTGGATTATGGTAAGGTTACGAACCCGTATTCTAAATCTGGCAACGATTATCCTCTCATTAACAGGCTCCCACTTGATGAGCGCAGCACTTGCCTGGACGCTAAGTAGGAGACCAACTCCACGATGGCGGGGAGCGTTTTCACCTCGAATACCAGAGTAGTACCTGTCCCGACGGCAGTTTGTGTTCTCCAAAGTTTGGCCAACGAACTTCACTCAGTCCCAGGATTTCTAGCTTCATGCGTCGCGCCTCGTTGGCGAGTTGTGCCAGTTTACCCTGCTGGGCTAACGTCAATACATTCCATGATCCAATTCGTGTCCGTTGTTTTGCGCTAAAAGTCATTGCCGTTAAATCAGTTCGATGTCTTTATCTGTTGGTTTCTGTAACCAACCTGTAACCTGTAAAGGTTTCAGAGACAGTAGGTGGTTGGCCTAAGGTCCCCTATCCGCCGTGATGGGGCTGCCATCTTAGGTGTAGCTTCCGGGGAAGAGCATTTCTTATTCAGCCGCTGGATCCAAGTCAGACGCGAGACGCTGTTTGAGCCGCACCTCCATGGTGAACAGACGCTCGGGTTGGCGAAGTATTTCCTCTATCACCGTGCTATGGTTACCGCGCCAGTGTTCGCGTCGCACCTCCTCACTATGCTATTGTCGGATTGACAACATTGCCCAGGCTACGCCAACCAGTTGTGTCCATGTTTCAGCTGGCAGTCTTTTGTGATCATATGACTCGTGGAGGCGTGAGGTAGGAACTTGTGAGGACCGGAGCTAGGTATATCGCTCCTTCCAAATTGTCACTCACCATCTGCAGCACCATCCTGAACACGTCCGGGAGCGTCTGGATCGCCGCCTTCAACGCCACGTTGGGAATTCCATCCGGGCCGGGAGCTGTATTCGCCCTCAACCTTTTCGCTGCTGCTATGAGTTCCTCGTTGGAGACTTGTACAACGTTGTCTTCATGTTCCTCGCCATATGGTGTAGGTGGCCAGGTCTTTGGGCATTGCTGTGGGAAAAGTCCCTCCACGATGACTTTCAGCTCGTTGGGATACATTTAAACCGGCATCGTTGGACCTCTGATCTTCGCCATCGCGACTCGGTATGCGTTGCCCCAGGGGTTGGCATCGGCATCGCGGCACAGCTCCTTGAAAATATTTGACTTGCTCAGCTTTATCTTTCGTTTCAGTCCAGCCCTGGCCTCTCGAAACACCACCCTGCGCTCCTCTCTGTCTGCTTCCGTTCTTGCTCTCTGAGCGCGCCTTCTGTCTAGAAGACAAGTAGCACGGAGGGTGCTGATTTCCTCGTTCCACCAGTAAGCTGGACGCCGCCTGTTCGTTGGCTCCAGTTTTCTCGGCATATTTGTGTCACATGCCCTTGCTAATGATTCGGTCAACTCGTTCGCGCTTAGGCCCGGGACGCTGCTGTCTACCCTTAGAGCTTCGATGAAGAGATCCTTATTGAATGCCTTCGTCTTCCACTTCCGCTCGCTTACTTTCGTCCTTCGCATTTCCACCGGTGTCCGTTCGCCGATACTGTACCGAATCGCCTGATGGTCACTATGGGTGTACTCTTCGCACACTCTCCAGTTCACATTTGCCACTAGCGACGTACTGCAGAAAGGGACATCGATAATGGATTCCCTGCCATATTTGCGGAAGGTGCTGATGGTTCCTAAGTTGGCCAGACTGACGTTACCGTTTGTTCCTTTGCTCTTGTGGAACCCAAACTGTGTATTTGATTCCAAGTTACTTGATTTGACCCAGTGATCGAGTCTCCAAAGGATCATTTTCTCCAACAATTCCGTAATGCACGAAAGCATAGGCATGAGATATGGTCAGACGCTGATTTACCAGATTTGTCAATGTTGCTTTCTAGTAAGGAATTGAATTAAATCATATCGCTTCCCGGTGAGGAGTTGTTCGATACAACAAGAGCCATTGAGAATTCCATTGAATGGTTTATCCAGAGTGCCGCCGCTTGAAGACGCTTCTCGAAGAATATGTTGTGCTGGAACTGCCCCAGTGTTTAAAATGGCCCAGCGTTCAGGGAAGAAAATATAATGGGAGAAATCAATCAGTTTTAGCTTGCAATAATGGCCAGAGCCTTCCCCTTGTAATAAATAAAAGTAAACGTACGCCATTTCCAAACAGGACAAAATAATCCGAAATCCAATCAATATTGAAAAATGTGATTAAGGTTTAGGGCCCGAATCAGGGCTGGCAAATGTCATTTTCAATGATAGATCTCACGCGATATTTACAGAGATACTTCTGTCACTATCATTGGATGACAAAACGATGATAGAGGTTTTTCTTCAAAATCTCATCGAATTTTTTGTCATGACAGAACGTGACAGTGTTGTGATCATTAGCTTATTTAATGTTATTAAAGTTACTTGCACCGAGGAAATCTTAATAATATACTCACTCTACGGATTACATACGGTTGTTAGCTTAAATGCATCTAAATCAGCTAGAATTATTCTCATGAGTGCTTGATCATTGAAAAATTACAAGAAAGCTAATGATAGGTAGTTTCGTCTCGTGATAGTGAGAGGACCTGTTTTCTCATCGTCACATGATGGCCGTGATATTTACCAGCTCTGGCCCGAATAGCTGAGGCAATTTTGGCCCTTGCAGTCGTCAGAGCAGTCTGAAAAGATGAAAATAACTCTAAAAGAAAGTGATAGGGGAAATGGCTCTAATGTTGGCATATGGATCTAAGATTGGGCCCATAGCTAAAAATCTGATATTTATCAATTTTATCTAGATGAACGCGTCATTGGGACTGTACTTATGGATATTCTTGGTCGCTATTGAAAATTTAGTCGAATGCTGAATTTATGTATGGGCCCAAATTAGGGGCATTTGGGCCGACATTACATGCATTTTCCCTATCATTACCATTTCGAAAGTTGTTAACCAATTTTGCTGGAACACGTTCCAGCCGATCAGGAGATTCTTCTCATTTTAGTATATGTCAAGGTGAAGCATAATTTTCGTTTCGTTTATAAAATATTAAAATAAATTTCATGGAGATACAATTTAAATGTGTTTAAAGTTCTATAAAAATAATACTCAACATCACCTCAAGCGTTTAAATACTAGATTGATCTCCTAATCTCAAGACTGACGAAATGGGAAATAATTTGTTGGGGTAGTTAAGGTTAAAGCGAAGACATCATATCAAGAAGACTGGCAACTTTGCCAGAATCCAAGTGACAGATACGATAGCGCTGCGTTTCAGTGAAGGTGGAAGCAACGCAAACCTTTCTTCTGAGGATGTAATCTTTGCTATCAAATTCGTTCGAAGCATTTACCTTTGAGCGGCAGATGGCGCGATTGTACCTGTCTCATAGCGTTCGTATGAGAAAATGGAAGGGTTGCCAGTCTTCTTGATTTGTTGTCTTGTTAAGTACGCTGCACTGGTTTCCTCTTACGTCCGACTAACTCCAAGTCCCCTAACTTCAAATTCCAGCAACAATGTGGAGCGCATCATTTCCGGTGTAATGGAAGCACCGGGCAAAACCAAAAACGGCAAATACACCGTCAAGTACCAATCGTTCCCGTACAACTATAATGCTTCGTTTATGATCCTGGACACGGACTACGATAATTTCGCCGTAATCTACTCCTGTAGCACCATCGGCCCTGTTGGTCATACGGGTACCACTTGGATTTTAGCATCAGATTTTCGGAGGTTCTAATTATATCCCATTCCAGTTTCCGCCTGGTTGCTGACCCGAGAGCGTCTCCCACCGGGACCGGTTCTGCAGCGTGCCTACGGAGTACTGGACAAGTACCGCATCAATCGTACTTTCTTCGTTAAGACCAACCAGGACGATTGTGTTCCGAGGGCACCTCCACAGCCAGCCATTGATCCCACTGAGCCAAGCACTGGATCGCGTGATCAAGGTGACCCAAATGGCGTCGACCAGATAGACACAGAAGAGCAGCTCAATCAGCTGAGAAACGATATCTTTGCGATGCCGATTCCCCCAGGTCAAGACATACAGATTGACCCGATCGATGACGAAAATGAGTGAAAATCGAATGCAGTGCTGGGGTAAATTATTTATGTTGAAAATAAAAGCACTGTTCGAACCAGTTTCGAGTTCGAGTTTGATTGTGATCCGAAAAGAGTGTGACCCCTCGTTGAGCATAATGTGTGCTGCATGAAAAATCGATCCACCAAACGACTCCCACATCTTTCGACCGCTCAATATCTTCCATTACAACCTTTACAACATTACCACAGAAAGTTACAAAACAAAATCATGCTACTGGGTAAGTGATATGATCGGTTTCGTAACCGCTATCAGTCCACTTGCACCAAGCATGTGCTTTCACTTCAACGCATTCATGGGTTTGCATGAATTGAGATGATGGGCCACGCCGCACAGAGGGGTATTTCATCAATCTAGCTGGTCAAAATTAATCAAAATGTTGCAATGTTACATTTTTCAAAATAGATAGATAGATGTGTCTGAAATTCTACACACTACCTTAAAATTGATTTATTTTTGGAAAACTTGCATCTCGGTGCACAACTTTCTGTATTGAGTTGCCGCTAAAGGTCAAATTGTTACTAATGGTTTGAACTTCACTACCAACTATAGGCAGAAATGCACTACTTATTATTTCATATAGAACGCTAACGGTAAGTCCAATTAAATTTCCAATTAGGTCATCTTAAAATAGATCGATTAATGCTAGTTTCAAGGTGACCAGTGAATTTTTATTTTGAAATTCCCAATTTTTTCCCGGTTTTCCCGGTTCAAATCTTAAAAATTTCCCGATTGTTAATATTAAACAAAAAACCGAAATTGAACGAATTTTTAAAAACGTGCTGGAACGAATTTACTGAAAGGATAATAAAATGTAATTTAAGAAGATTCCCAAGATTCCGATGCTTTGAAATTTGTGTAGAGTCTGAAACTAGAACTTTTCTTAAAAATCTTCGTGATGCAAGATTTAGAGAAAAAATAATTAAAATGAGATTTTGAAAAAATTTCAAGGTAACAGATTTGAAAAAAAAACATATTTATAGGTCGTAGAGCCATAATTGTCACGTTCTGAGACTTTGCAGCATTTTAAGGGTTACAACAAATTACAGAACAATCTATAGAATCTTGCGGACAAACCCTGGAATTTTTAGTAAAATTTAAAAGAATTCAAAGTGTTGATTTCAAACACATATTGAGAAGGATTCCCACACAGTTTTTCAAGGAGAAGTTCTGAGCATAATTCCAGAATTATTCTGACATGAAGTCCTTAGAAATTGTTAGATGAATTTGGAGGGATTTCTGTGGAGAAGAATGCAGGTTCTAAATTAAATTGTTACGTAATCTAAGAAGATTTCAAAAGGAGTTGTGAAAAACAAAACTTTAAGTAAACTTCCTACGTAATTCTGAGGAGATTTGTATAGGGATCCCGAGGAAAATGACAGATAAATTTTAAGAATAAAAAAGAGAACTATGATCAGAATACAACAAGAAACAGTGTTCTTGCAATAATTTCAACCCTAGTGTGAAAAATTCATCACAGAAGTCCAGCAAAATTGATTGCAAAAAATTTGCTGATATTTAGAAAGAAATTCTTTAAATACTCCAAGGGGTTTCTCAATAAAATTTCGAAAGATTTCTGCTGTTTTTAATAGAGTTGAAAGAATTTTTTTTAAAGATTTTCAAAAGAATCAAAGTTGCCGAATGGGTTCAAGGGGATTCTAAGAAGGATTCCAATTAAATTCCTAGAAGGGGTTTCAAGTAAATTCCAAAAAGAATTCAACGGTAATTATTACGCGGAGTGTTTTCTGGTTAATTTCAGAAGAGCTCCATGATAATTCAAAGCAGAATAACAAGTTAATTCTGTAATTCATATCATGAGAATTTTGAACAACGAAAAATTAAAACCCCGGAAAAAATAATTCAGTTTCGGTTTTTACATATATTTGTATGCAAAGTCCAGCATCTTCAATATTTTCTTTTAAGGACCATGCCCTTTACATCTGAAATTGAAACGACAAAAATCAATTTATTGCAAATTTCTGAGTGATTGAATTCTAAAAGCAATAAGACGAGTAACTGAAGAAAATAATGCAGTGAATAGAGCAAGACATTCATTTGGTAAAGGATCACTCTGTTTTAATAGTTTATTCTGAAATTCTGATGCCTCTGATGTTCTCTCGTCGAATTCCCGGTTTTTTCCCGATTTTCCCGGTTATTTTTCAAATTCCCGGATATTTCCCGATATTCCCAGTTTTCCCTGTTTGCTGGCCACCCTGTAGTTTTCAACAACAGATAGATTTTCGAACATTTTAATTAATATTAGAAGTGTCAAATTTATGTGAAAATTGCAACTAAATCCGAAAAATTCTTTTCTATGTACAAATTTTCGAACAAAAGAAAACCTCCCTCCCAAAACATGACCCCACCCCTGTTTGGCCTAAAATCATTATATATTCTAAAACCAACAGAATCTTTTGACAACCTTTAATATTTTTGACCAGCTAGAATCCGAAAATACCCCACTGCCAAATACGCCTACCTCAACATAACAATTCACGTCCAAATATATTTATCTAGCTGGATGGTATCGAAGACGCCACAGATCAATATTCGGCGGACCATACAACGGTCAAGACGTGAATCTGCATCTGCTGCTACTCCTCCTACTCCGAGTGTACAGCACACATTCGAGTCGGTTCAAATTCAGCCCGGACGCGCATGTGCGATCGAACTCAAGTGGTAAAAAGTGATAGTGATTTGAAAAATTGAAATGATCGTCTGGCGCTTAATTGTTACAGCCACAGTGAAAAGTGAATAGCGGATTGTTTGCGCATTGAACACTTTCGTTAGCATAACGTCCGTCGGTTACGGATCGCGTTGCTGCATGGTTATTTGCTGAATTGGTTCGTAAACGGCGATAAGTGTTGAGGCTGCACGAGTTTAGTCGGAAATTGGGAGGCTGATTTGCTGAGGACCGGGAAGATATCAGCAAAATGGTGAAACAAATTTGGTAAGTTTGCAAAATTTGAATCCACTACCTTTTGGAGGGGGTCTCCCTTCTTAGCTCAGTCGGTAAAGGCGCAGCTGCGCGTTTTGCCAGTGTACCGGTTTTTCAGAAACCGTCACGCCACCGAGCTATGATTGCCCACGCCGGTCCTATTTTTTAAGCGTGCATTATTTTTCTTTATACCTGAAAACATAACTCTATAGATACCGTAAGACGAGGGGCCAAAATTGAAAAATGTTTATTGATGCAAATATCTTGAATATACAGAAAATGATGATTAGAATGTGTTTCTTGAATTCCATATAATAAGATAACATTAATCAGGTGTTTTGTTAGAATAGTGCTGAAAAGTTAAGTGGATACATATAAATCGGTAAAAATCATGGGTTGGTATAACACACATTTAATTTTTGTTTGAACTAGTTTTCAGGGCATCAAAATAAACATTTGAAATTAAAATTACTGAGTTATTATTATTTGAAGTTAGTGGTTTAAAAAAATGGGTCCCACGATATATCACCACTGTTTCGACCAAATCAGCTCATTTTTGGGGTGCAGACTCGTTAAGCAGGTCCCGTGTGCATGACGAAGGTTGATTTTTGAAAAGTAGATTGAAAAAGAGATGAAAATATTTTTTATGTTTTTCATATTAAAAATCATGTTTTTATTTCATATTTAAAAAAATCAAAATCCGGCTTCGTCACGGGATACCGAAAAACCGGGTGAATAGAAACAGTGGGGCGCAATGAAAAAACAACCTCCCAGCCTTAAAAAAAATTTTACAATGCTAAGATTATATCGAAAAATCATCGTACAACATTTTTCCCAGTTACTTAGCTATTGAAAGAGTTCAGCCAGCCGGCGCTGGTGGTGTAGTGGTAAGCGTGACTGCTTTCTAACACCCCGATGGGTCTGGGTTCAATCCCAGCCGAGGTCGGTGGGATTTTTCTGAGGCATAAAAATCTCTGGTCACGTCTTCCTTCGGAAGGGAAGTAAAGCCGTTGGTCCCGGCCCATGTGTGTTGAATGGGTGCGATATCCTACGCAGGTGTGGAAGCTGCCTTCCTGTACATTCGGTTGCCGTCAATGGATGGCAATCGATGTCCGTCTGTGATTGGCACTAGATTGCGGAACAGAGACCGACGTTAAATAAAGAAAAAGAAGAAAGAGTTCAGCCAAACTTTTGTTGGGTTGGCAACCCTGCTGACATTTTTCTAGAAATTTCATCAAATGGCGCTACGGATTAGTAGTATTTCTCTTCTTCTTCTTCTTCTTCGCATTTCAAGCTTATTGTATATCGCATAATAGCTTATTGCGTGCTCTCAACTTAGTGTTCTAGATGCACTTCCACAGTTATTAATTGAGAGCTTTCGATGCCTGTACCATTTTTGCATTGGTATAATTGTGTGGCAAGTCCAATCATACTTCTATGCCCAAGGAAGTCGAGAAATTTTCCAACCCGAAAAATTCCTAGACCGGACCGGGAATTGAACCCAGCCAATTCCAGCATGGTCTTGCTTTGTAGCAGCGCCTTTACCGACTGAGCTAAGGGAGGCCCCTGATTAGTAGTATTTGCTAGTGCGCTAAAACTTCACCGGTGGATGTCACTTTTTGTTTAATTCGAACTTGTTCACGTACTATAGCAGTTATATTATTCAGTTGTGTAAACTTCTACAGTGAAACATTCGAACATCAACAGGTATTTATCATATTATCACTTAAATTTGCATACGTGGTCCCGATTCACACTTTGACAGGGCGAATAGAAACAATGGCGCCGATAGTTGAAGTCATTCGTTTTATGCAATCGACACCAACATAGTGCTCCCTTATTTCTAGGAAAACAATGCACAGTGGTCCATTTTGACGCTCTTTTTTTATATATAATGCGTTTATTTTTCCAGGATCACTTGCTGTAGCTTTTCGGCGCCGATATTCATTGTTTAGATCACAATATTACTTAAAACAAAACGTTAGTAAAGCGGGGGCCGATTATTCGCGGCTATCTCGAGGTTACGGTTAACAAATTGTAACAAATGGATGGCTGGGTAGGGATTGAGAACACAAGGTTTGGAGAGCAATGTGCTCTTGATC